GAGTGAGTGTGTGCGTGTGTGTGAGAGAGAGTGTGTACGAGTGTGTGCGTGTGTGTGAGAGAGAGTGTGTGCGAGTGTGTGCGTGTGTGTGAGAGAGAGTGTGTACGAGTGTGTGCGTGTGTGTGAGAGAGAGTGTGTGCGAGTGTGTGCGTGTGTGTGAGAGAGAGTGTGTACGAGTGTGTGCGTGTGTGTGAGAGAGAGTGTGTGCGAGTGTGTGCGTGTGTGTGAGAGAGAGTGTGTACGAGTGTGTGCGTGTGTGTGAGAGAGAGTGTTTGTGCGTGAGAGAGTGAGTGCATGTGTGTGAGAGAGAGTAAGTGTGTGGGTGTGTTTGAGAGAGTGAGTGTGTGCGTTTATGTGTGTGTGAGAGAGTGAGTGTGTGCGTGTGTGTGATAAATGAGGACATACATTTGTATAATGACAAAGGTATGACATAGGTATTACAAGGAGAAGGTGACTTTTCAGGACATTACCCCATGTCCCCACTTTTCAAAACGCTTATAAATCACACAGAATGGAGTGTATTGAAAATCTGAAATAGCACAAAGTTTCCTGTGAGGGGTAGGTTTAGGGGTAGGGTTGGTGTAGGGCAATAGAATATACGGTCTGTACAGTATAAAAACCATTACGCCTATGGAGAGTCCCCACTTTTCACAAAAATAAACCTGTGTGTGTGTGTGTGCGAGAGAGAGTGAGTGTGTGTGTCTGTGTGTGTGAGAGAGTGAGTGTGTGTGTCTGTGTGAGAGAGTGAGTGTGTGTCTGTGTGTGTGTGTGAGAGAGAGTGAGTGTGTGTGTGTGTCTGTGTGTGAGAGAGTGAGTGTGTGTGTCTGTGTGTATGTGTGTGAGAGAGTGAGTGTGTGTCTGTGTGTGTGTGTGAGAGAGAGTGAGTGTGTGTGTGTGTCTGTGTGTGAGTGTGTGTCTGTGTGTGTGAGAGAGTGGGTGTGTGTGTGTGTCTGTTTGTGTGAGAGAGTGAGTGAGTGAGTGTGTGAGAGTGTGTGTCTGTGAGAGAGAGTGAGTGAGTGAGTGTGTGAGTGTGAGAGATAGTGAGAGTGTGTGTCTGTGAGAGAGTGAGTGTGTGTGTGTCAGTGTGTGTGAGAGAGAGAGTGTGTGTGTGTGTGTGTGTGTGTGTGTGAGAGAGAGTGATCGTGTGTGTGTGTGTGAGAGAGAGTGATTGTGTGTGTGTGTGAGAGAGTGAGTGTGTGAGAGTTTGCGTGTGTGAGAGTGTGTGTGAGTGAGTGAGTGTGTGTGAGTGAGTGTGTGTGAGTATGTGAGAGCGATTGTGTGTGTGTGAGTGTGAGAGTGTGTGTGTGTGAGTGTGTGTGAGAGTGTGTGTGAGTGAGTGTGTGTGTGTGTGTGTGTGTGTGTGTGTGAGAGTGAGTGTGTGTGAGAGAGAGAGAGTGATACTTCATAATCAACTTTTTCATTCAGCTTGTCTACAGCTCCGGCGGAGAGAAAGTGTGTGGTCATTTAACCAGGGCCAAAGAGTTTAGGAGGAGGGTAGATCGAGGCCAATACCAATCATCCATGAGCTGCGTATAGCTATTAACTAATAATAACTATAATGATAACTGTACTAGCGTTCACATTCTAATCTCTTTAAATGCTCAAGCTCTTTTAAATCGATGGATTCTGATTGGCCGTCGACGAGTTTAACACTCTGAAGGAGATTCCAATGACATCGTTCCTCGTTGTGTTGTTATCCTTATAGTTGAGCCGAGGACTCCTTTCACTTTTAGAATGATTCTTAAAACTATCCTTATTAGCTTTATAGTTATAGTTTTAGTCATTCCTGGTGTAAACAAGCATTAACACTGTTATTACATGTTTCAAATCAGTTTTTTATCTGGGGGTGACTGACATCTGCATAAAATATCTTAGTCAAATTACAGAATATGTGGCTTTATTACATTTAAAATAGATGGCGACGATGAGAAAGGCCACTGGAGATTGTCATGATTATGAACACGAGGATGCATTTTACAAATAATTGTAGTTTTATATTGTTTTGAGGTACTTAAAGGGGTCATACGATGCAATTTCAAGTTTTCATTTCTCTTTGGAGTTTGTGCATTTATAAGATCGGTAAAGTTGCACAGACTAAAGTCTCAAACTCAGAGATATTCTTTCTAAAAGTTAAGACTCGTCCACGCTTCCCTAAAACGCCTGGTTTAAACATGCGCCACATGTCTACGTCACTGTGTGCCCAAACGTTTATGCAAAGAAAGAAGGCGTAACTTTGATTCTCGCTGTAGTGTTGTTGTCGTGGAGACGCTGTGTGTTCCTAAATATGGTGAGGGGCGTAACATTTCCTTCACACGCTTGAGGTATTTGACCAATCACAACGCACTGGATAGCTGGCCAATCAGAGCACACAGCGCTTTTCAGACCGATGAGCTTTGTAAAAATCGACGGGTTTCAGAAAGACGGGGCATAGAGGAGAAACAATAATGTACAGTATGTGGAAAATAATGTGTTTTTAACCTTAAACCATGTAAACATTTCATTACACCAAATACACAAAAGCAGTCATAAGTAGCACAGGTATATTTGTAGCAATAGCCAAAAATCATTAGGATATTAAGTAAAGATCATGATCCATGAAGATATTTTGTAAATTTCCTACTGTAAATATATAAGAACTTAATGTTTGATTAGTAATATGCATTGCTAAGAACTTCATTTGAACAACTTTAAAGATGATTTTCTCAATCTCAGCCAAATATTGTCCGATCCTAACAAACCATACATCAATGGAAAGCTTATTTATTCAGCATTCAAATGATGAATCTCCATTTTTGTGGTCCAGGGTCACAAATAATGTTATTTTTAGCATCATCACCATATGAGCCCTTTAAAGGTAGTTTGATGATTGCAAAATGATGTATTTTGGATGAATATAAAGTACCCCAAATGCATAATTCCACCACAGTGTGATGGGTTATTTCTAATGACCTGTGAAGCATTTGCTGTAAAGACGAACTGACAGACTGAAGAGCAGCAGAGTTTGACATCTGGCCTTTATTCACATCTGAAGATAAACCACAATCTGGTGAATGTGCAGAAGCTCACAGCAGCCCCTCCATCTCGCGCATGAAGGCCTCGTACATCTGGTCCTTGGTCTTGAGGCCGGGCGGCGCGGCGCCAGGCGGCTGACTGGGTTTGGCCACGGCCGCTGGTTTGGGCGGCTCCTCGTCTCTGCGGCCCGGGGCCCGGTCCCTGCGCACGCGGAGCGCCGTGGGCACGAAGCGTGTCACCTCCGTCTTGGGGTTGATGATCTGCGGCTTGGCCGAGATGGTGGCTCCGCCCGGTGGGGCCAAGGACGTCCCGGGGCCCGAGACCACGGCCCGCTTCTCGATGGTGGCCGTGGTGCCGGGGGGTGGCGGCATCGGGTGGGCGGAGCCTCGGGCAGGTGGGGCCATGGGGGCGGAGTCGCTGGAGGAGCCCGTCACCACGTGTGACTTCTGCCGGATGCTGGGCGGAGCGCTGAGCACATTGGGATTGAGCGGAGGCGGGAACAGAGAGAGGGGCGGAGCCATGCGGGGCGGAGGGGGCGGGGGCATTCCTGCAAATCAACCCAAAACACACAAACCCATCGTTAAAACTAGTCAACATTTCAGCAAACAAACAAATAACAAATCAGCCAATCCAGCAGTTTTTGGTTATGGTGAAAAATAGTTTTGGACGGACGAAATCATTGACTGAAACTAGGGGTCCAGTCAAGTCAAGTCACTGTTATTTATATAGCGCTTTTTACAATGCAGATTGTGTCAAAGCAGCTTTACAGTATTAAACAGGGAAATAGTGTGCTGTTTTCCTCTGGCCAGACGAGACCAGCAGATTAATTCTAGGCTGCAGCAAAGTCAGATTGTGCAGAGGACTCATCTGGTTCCCGTGGTCTTGTCCTGATGGCTGTCTAGGTGTCTGCGATAATATTGTAATTGTTGTTTTAACGATGTGCGATTTGACGTTATCGAGTGTATCGCAAACACCAAACAAAACCGTGCACGCACACATTACGTGATAAAGTGCGTTTTGGTTACAAACAGCAGCCGGGGAGTATTTTGTTGCTATAGCAACAGCAGCCTAGTGCTGTGTGCTTCAGAAAATGTCAAGAAAGTTGGCTCTTGCGTTGGGTTTTGAAGTTAATGGGGAGGAGAATGTCGGTTCACAACGATGTTTGTGGGTGCGCAACATTATACTGGGGAGGAAACTGTATGGTGCTTACAACAGTTGGTAACACTTTACTTGAAGGGGTGTGCATAAGACTGACATGACACCTTCATAATCATGACATGACACACTGTCATTAAGTGTCATTTGCTCAGTTATGTCAATTTTAATGCAAATATGACATTATTTGACCTAACCCTACCACTACCCTTACCCCTAACCATAGCCCATAGCAAAGACATCTCAAACAATGTCATCTTTGCATTAAAAATTACATAACTGAGTGAATGACACTTAATGACAGTTGTCATAAACATGCATAAAAAAACCTTCATATTCATGACATGTGTCATGTCACGATTATGTAGGTGTCATGTCATGATTATGAAGGTGTCATGTCAGTCTTATGCACACCCCTTCAAGTAAAGTGTAACCCAACAGTTTAGTCCAGGAGCTCCGGTGGATGATGCACGGTTAGCAGCAGATTTTAGATTACATAGAGTTTTGTGCTCATATACAACTCCTTGTGCTCAGAAACTAGTATGATCTATCTCCCGGCTATCTTCTCCATTTTTCTTGCCGTTTTTGTTATTTTGTTGTTTTTGTTGAAACGACTCGATACTCGCTTGTGATTGGTCAGCTGTCAAAAAGGCGGTTGACGAAGGATTTTTTTTTCAGAAAAGTTGAACTTTTTTTCATCTTGAAAAGACACTCTGAGCCACGTTGGCGGTGGCTTTTAAAGCGCTCAGGACTTTTTTGAAAACACTGTTGACTCATAGGATTATAATGTAAAACAGATGCTGGCAGCTTCAAAAAAGACGCCAAGTGTGAACTGAGCAACATGACGGTGTTTCGCTCCTGAATGAATCAACCGTTTAAATGATTCGGTTCAATCGCAATGACTCACTTACGATCAAGATCACCTAGCGGTGGTTTTAATTTCACATTTATAGTTTTTAAATGATTTCAAATATCAGTATTCAACCTTTTACGTATAATATATCAAAACACTATTTATGCATTTGTAGCTGCAGATTAAATGCATTCTTACGACTGTGTAAATGCATCTAAATGCCACTTCAGATGCAGCTTCTGTGTTTCCTCTGCATTGCAAAGATGAATTCTGTTGATACCGATTTCATTTGCTTGATAATAGCCCAAATTATTTATTATTTTTATTTACTGATTAAATGTAAGATTTTGACAATTATATAATAAAGATAATGCACGCTTTTAGAAAAATGGCTTTATATATATATATATTCAATACTGTAATAAAGGATATGTCGATTAGAAATGGCTTACAAATATACTTAATCATTATGAAAATACCCGAGATGGCTTTAAGAACACAGAACACATTGTCCTTATGTTTCATCATTCAAAACGTTTAACGTTATATCTTCTTTTTAGTCAGTTGCAGTGATTGCAATGTCTTTATCCATATCAGGGATTTCCTGGAACGTCATCAGTTCTATTACTTCTGTGATGCATGTGTGCATTTTCTGCGCGAGGGCGCCCTCTGGCTGCCAGAAACACACATTAATGTGTTTATAGCGCTCAATAATGGCCAATCCATCCTATTTTGGGGTAAAATATGAATAATACCTCTTTCAAAAGAACTGTTAAGTAATCCACGCTTTTCCCAGTGTGCAGAGTTTTATATGAGTTTTTTTTAATGTTCATTTGTTGCAGAAAACACTTTGATGTGCCAAGCTATCAGAACCGAACCAAACTGAAAACCATGGTTAAAAACCGAGATATGTATTGGACCGTGGACTAACTGTATTGTTGCATCCCTAGTGTTTAGACTAGAGCCCGACCGATATGGGTTTTTTTGGGGGCCGATGCCGATATTAGGGAGTAAAAAAAAGACAGATGCTGATATTCTTTATGTGTAGGCTATATTATAGTACAGTATAGTCAAAAGTTTGGACACACGAATGGGAAGTGTGTCCAAACTTTTGACTATACTGTACTATAATATAGCCTACACATAAAGAATATCAGCATCTGTATATAGAATACAGTATATAGCCTACATCAGGGGTTCTCAAACCTCTCCATGAAGTACCCCCAGCACTGCACATTTTGTATGTCTCCCTATATCTGTACTCCAGGACAGGTTTGAGAAACACTGGCCTACATAAACAGAATATATATACATAAACACATTTTTTGCAATGACAGCTTTTCCAAATGTAAACATCTAAAATTAATAAATAATAATAATTAATCTTTTTTTTTTTCCACAAACTCTTTTCTGATAAAACATTCATATTTAAATTGTCTTTTTGGAGTTTAATATTCACAGACACAGTATATATATATATATATATATATATATATATATATATATATATATATACTGTATATATACTCACCTGTTTTTTTTATCTTTTCGTCTCTTTTAGAAGAAAACAAACATAACCCCAGGTATTTATTCAATACAGTGGCTAAATTAACGAAAAATAAAGCATCAACAGGCGTTGACATTTCCCAACAGCACAGCAGTAATGACTTTGAACTACTTTACTTCCAAGATCGATACTATTAGAGATAAAATTGTAACCATGCAGCAATCAGCTACAGTATCGCATCAGATAGTGTGCTATAGACCGCCTGAGGAACAATTCCACTCATTCTCTACTATAGGAGAGGAAGAATTGTATAAACTTGTTAAATCATCTAAACCAACATGTATGTTAGACCCTATTCCATCTTAGTTCCTAAAAGAGGTGCTTCCAGAAGTCATAGATCCTCTTCTGACTATTATTAATTCATCATTGTCATTAGGATATGTCCCCAAAACCTTCAAACTGGCTGTTATTAAGCCTCTCATTAACAAAAACACAACTTCACCCCACAGATCTAGTTAATTACAGACAGATCTCGAATCTCCCTTTTCTGTTCAAGATACTAGAAAATATAGTATCCTCACAATTATATTCCTTCTTAGAGAAAAATGGTATCTGTGAGGATTTCCAGTCAGGATTTAATCCGTATCATAGTACTGAGACTGCTCTCATTAGAGTTACAAATGACCTGCTCCTATCATCTGATCGTGGTTGTATCTCTCAATTAGTGCTACTGGATCTTAGCGCTGCGTTTAACACTATTGACCACAACATTCTTTTGAATAGACTAGAAAACTTTGTTGGCATTAGTGGAAGTGCATTAGTACATGGTTCTAATCGTACTTATCTGACCGCCATCAATTCGTAGCAGCGAATGAAGAGGTATCATATCGATCACAAGTGCAGTATGGAGTACCTCAAGGCTCAGTACTAGGGCCGTTACTCTTCACGCTTTACATGTTACCTCTGGGAGATCTCATCAGGAAACACGGTGTTAGCTTTCACTGTTATGCTGATGATACTCAGCTCTATATTTCTTTGCAGCCCAGCGAAACATGCCAATTTGAAAAACTAGCGGAATGCATAGTCGATATAAAAAACTGGATGATGAGTAATTTCTTACTGCTAAATTCTGAAAAAACAGAGGTGTTAATTATAGGACCTAAAAACTCTGCATGTAGTAACCTAGAACACTCTCTAAGACTTGATGGCTGCTCTGTCAATTCCTCGTCATCAGTTAGGAACCTATGTGTGGTATTTGACTGCAATCTTTCCTTAGAAATCCACGTTTCTAGCATTTGTAAAACTGCATTTTTCCATCTCAAAAATATATCTAAATTACGACCTATGCTCTCAATGTCAAATGCAGAAATGTTAATCCATGCGTTCATGACCTCAAGGTTAGATTATTGTAATGTTTTATTGGGTGGTTGTTCTGCACGCTTAATAAACAAACTCCAGCTTTCAACCCAATGTTGGGTCAAATATGGACTAACCCAACTGTTGGGTTAAAATTCTTTTTATTTTTTATTTTTTGCAGAGCTACTAGGGTTGGGTACCGAAACCCGGTACCAATATGGCACCGGTACCTATGTAACCAGTATGTACTAGAACCGAATCAGAACGCAGATTTCGATGCCATGCCTGAGCGATCGATTGAAATATTTGTCCTCTGGTTCTCCGAAACAGACATAAGAAGCATCATCACCGGCACCGCACGTGAAAAATAATTTCCTGACTGAGAAAATGCACGTGAACTCAAGTCGGGAAGCTCTAATAATACAAATCCAACACATCTTTGTAGTCCGACTTAAAAGCACAACTCGGGAAACGAGAGCATCCGAGGAGTGCGTGAATGCAGTAAT